ATTTAATTCCAAATGGATATTGGCCTTTCTTGTTGCATCCCTGCATTCTTTGACAATATTCCGATATTGATCGCACCTTGTCTGACTCTTCTTCCACCTTGTGTATGTTCTCTTTTTCTGTTTAAGTTTTCCTAAGAGCTCTTTGCCCATCCACATAGGTCTCCTGCTCYCTTGCTTGACTTCTTTCTTGTAGGAATGCACTGATCCTGAGCTTGGAGAAAGTGGTGCTTAATTATTAGCCAACTCTCCTGGATCCCCTTTCCTTCTAGGGCCATCAGTCAGAGGGTTCTCTTTTTGTTGTTGTTTGTTGTTGAGAATTTTTGGGTGAGAATTAAATACAAGGAGAAAAACAGTGATCAGTGCTAAATAAGTAATGACAAATATAGTAAAGTTCAYGACAACAATCTTAAAGATTAATATTTTTAAGTAGTGAGGTGTAAATGTGTGAAACACCATACGTACGTATATCAAGGAAAATGTTTACTGAAATACTTATGTCTAGTCTGACAAAAAAAAAAGTCAATTCATACACTAACAGTGTGTGCAGCTTTCTTTAAGAAAATAAAAATGTCAGTGGAAGMCACGATTAAAATCTATTTACTGATTTTTTTTTCTTGCTGATTTAAATGATTTGGATTAAAATTACTCTATACCAAAAGAAAAATAATTTGTTGTTCTGTTTGTTTTTTGAAATTGCATTAAAACAGCCTTCCCCAATTGGGTTCATGAAAGGCAGATCCTTCTTGACCAACCTGATCTCCTTCTATGACCAGGTGACATCCCCCGCCAGTGAATGAGGGAAGGGCTGTGGACCTGCTCTACTTAGACTTCAGTAAGGCCTCTGGCACCATCTCCCCCTGCCTYCTCCCGGAGGCGCTGGCAGCTCAGCCAGCTGGGCGGCCGGGCCCACAGGGTGGCGGTGACTGGAGTTAAATCCAGCTGGTGACCGGTCATGAGCGGTTGTTCCCCAGGGCTCTGTGTTGGGGCCGGTCCTTGTTAATATCTTCACTGACACTCCGGATGAGGGGATTGAGCGTCCCCTCAGCAAATCTGCAGGCGACATGTAGCTGTGAGGAAGAGTTGATCTGCTTGAGGGTACGAAGGCTCTGCAAAGGGATCTGGGCAGGCTGGATGGATGGACAGAGACCAGCTGTAGGAGGCTCAACAAGGCCAAGTGCYGGGTCCTGCRCTTCACTCACAACAACCCCGGGCAGCGCTGCAGGCCTRGGGCAGAGAGGCTGGAGAGCCGCGTGGCAGGAAAGGACCCGRGGGCGCAGGTCGGCAGCCGGCTGAACATGGGCCAGCAGTGCCCAGGGGGSCAAGAAGGCCAAGGGCCTCCTGGTTTGTACTGGAAACAGTGAAGCCAGCAGGACCAGGAAGGGATCGTCCTCCTGTACTTGGCCCTGGTGAGGCTGCACCTCCAATACTGTGTCCAGTTTTGGGTCCCTGACTACAAGAAAGTCCCAGAGGTGCTGGAGCAATCCAGAGAAGGGCAATGAAGCTGGTGCTGGAGCCCAGACTTTACCCTGGGCAGTTGAGGGAGCTGGGGTTATTTAAGCTGGAGAAGAGGAGGCTCCAGAGTAACTATGGATAGGACAAGAAGAAATGGCCTCAGGTTGCACCATAGGAGGTTCAGATTAGATGTGAGGAAGAACTTCTACATGGAAAGAGTGATGAAGCCTTTCAGCAGGCTGACCAGGGAAGTGGTGGAGTCACCATCCCCAGCAGTGTTCAAGAAACGTGTAGATGAGGCACTTACGGACATGGTTTAGCGGGTATGGTGTTGAAGTTAAGTTAAACTTCATGATCTTAAAGGTCTTTTCCAACCATAATGATTCTATGATGTTTCTGTGCAGAAGACCCAGCAAAAGTGTCTGTTTGCACACATCACCTCAGCTCCAGACTCCAGGCACCRGAGTCATCCTCTGCTATTCAAGATTTTTGTTACGGAAGTTAAAATGTCATGAACCTGGTAAACACCAGGTTCTACTGTCTAAGCTTAGCTTTCTTAAACAGGTAGCCTATGGGAGTTCTGTGTTATTCTGTCGTATTTGCACTTCGGTTTCACCAGAGAAGCAAACTGTATCGTACTCCTAACATGCAAAGTGATGCGTAAGCATCCAGATCACCTGTATCTATAACCATGATAGTTCCCACTGCAGAGCTTGCTGTTAATTTAGAGCAACTGTTGAAATTGAATTCATCTGTAAATAGATGCCTTCACTGCAAGTGCMTATATTATTCAGAGTTTGGAAGAAAAATAAAAAGTGGGGGGTGTTAACTGAAAAGTACAAAACAGAAATCAACCATTAGGGACTGAGTTCAAAGCCTGATCCTCTGTGGGGAAGAGGTGCCTAGACACTCGTAAAATAAGGCTAATGAACTAGGTAGGTGTTTTTCCCATTTGGCAATTTGTATGTTCTCACTTAGTGCCTGGTGTATACAATTAAGTTTATGTAACTTTAAACTTTTTCCAATGTTGTTCGTAGTTAACTGGCACGGTCTGGAAATTGTAGTACTTCTGAGATGGAGTCTTACTTCTAGTGCTATTTTAATACTACTGTTTAGTAAACTGAGCTGCTCCAATCACTTCTGGCATCTGCTTTACTTGATACATGTAGAACTGCAGTGACCTGTCTGCAACAAGCTTCTGTGACTAGGTCATTATTTTTTTATTTAATATTAATTTCTGATGTTTACATGTGGCTTTAAGTAAATCCAGCAGTACATATTTTGGTATATTAATTGAGTCTCTCCAGAGATCTTTTGCTCTTAAATCACAGACTGGCCGTTTCAGTACTGTAATTTCTGAACAGTTAGTCCCGAGTCTTTGAAAGCTGTTTTCTTTTTAGTTTTCTTTGGGACACGAGAATCCATCTTTTAAAGTTTTCCTCTGCAGTTGTGAGAGCTAGAAACTTTGGATTTAAATGCAGATGAATGCTCAGGTTCTCGGAATCTACTGAGATCTGTGGTTAGAATGCCTAACACTGAAAAATGCTAAAAGAATGTAATAAGGTCAGTGGCCACTTTTTCAGTGGCTCTTCCCCACATGTTTTGTTTCTGTACTATCGCTGTTGAACATTCAGTGCACCAATTGATTTATTTCTAGATATAAAAAGAAGTAAGAGCTCACAAACTACACGGAGAGGGTATTGGAAACAGCTGTAAATCTATCAGGAAATCTCAAGGATGTGTCTTTTTAATTCTAGCTGCGTGTATTGCTGTAACAGTGAAACGAGAGCAACTGCTTTCCAGTAAGAGTAATACTGAAAGCTAATATACTAAATAAGGAAGTATATTCTGTATATGTTCATTAARGCTGGTGAAGATATGCTTTAAAAGCAAGCATCGAATGGCCGTTTAACCCAATCAATACCTCTTTTTCCAAAAAGCTCCTTTGGCAAAATATAACCCTTCTGTCGCGTGGTACTAGAGCTGTGTTACTGGTGTCTGGTTGCAGTCCCTAAAAGATACAGCCTGGGTACTTTTTAACCCTTCTTGAGTGATTCAGAATTTTGGAGGTGGCTATAGTTTGAACATAAACACCAGGACATACCTTCTCATGGCAAGAAAGCTGCAGGAGCAGCTAGTGAGGGGCAGTTGTACCTGCCAAAATGGGTTACGTTTCCGGCGTGTTGACCACAAGTGCTGCTCGTGGTGTGCTTGCTTCCCCAACCTTTGCTCTGTGGCACTCGGCTTGCCCAGAGCTGGGCCAGGCTTTGATAATCAACCAGTTTTGTTCTTTCCCTCAGCTAGGTACTTTGAGACAAATAAAATATATTAAGAGGAAACAAGCAGAGAGAGGAGGTTGCTTCCTCAGACTTGTGCTATTGTGTCAGAGGCAACACCGAGTGCTATTATGGGTTCTTCATTGAGCTAGACCAAAACGAATTCTAAAATCTAAGACATTCAGATGTGGAGAGGGGCTCTTTCGTTGCAGCTTTCTCTTCCCCACTTGCYTAATTTCCTGTAAGGAAACTGATTTTCAAATGAATTCACTAGGTTCATTCTTTTCAAATATCAAACCTAACATCGCCTTGCAGCCTAATGCTATTTCCTCGAGTTCTGAGAGTTGTGTAAACACAAGATGAAAAAGATAATGGCTCTTGAGTTCAAGTACTTTTATTATTTAAGCAAAAGGATTTGGCTGTCYGTGTTTGCCTTCCCTGAATGTGCTTTTCAGGATTATTGGGTTCATTATTACCAATTTTCGTAAAATATGGACACCTGAAATGAAAGTTAGAGACATTTGTTWAAGTACTCAGGTCAGGAGTTGGTCACCATTTTTATACATCTTGTGCTACTCGATTTGCTTTTATGAATATATATATATATATATTTTTTTTTTCTCCTTCCATTCTTTCTTCGGCTGGTTGTACTTCATCTTTCCCAAAAGCTTTTGTTGTTTATCATTTGAATAGGTGTCAAGTGGAATGGTAAACTGGATTTCTGTCCAGTAGCTCTTGTTACATTTCTAAGTGCAAACATTAATAACTGAAGGTGGTGGCTTCTCTATCTTAAGAGCAAGTGAAGAACTGCARGCGGCACTTGGAAGATCAGCTTGTCATTCTTTGATATTGTGTGATTGTGTCTCACTTTGTACCTGAGATCTAAATGTGTTTTTTTCCCCCTATACTCTATACCCCTATGTACCCCCTATGCAAAATGATGTTCGTTATAAACAACGTTGTACTTGTTGGCTCTCACTAAGTTCATCTAATAACTCTTCGACTATTTTCTGCTGTATAGTTGTTAGCTTCAGAGGCACCATCAGCTTTTGAAATGCTAATTTCATTATTTCTGTAGCCTTTTGAAAGGTGGTTGAAAAGCTGGCAAACGTGGTACTTGGTTAGCATTTGAAAATGTGGAACATTATGAATTCAGACACACATTTATATTCTGGTTCTGTATTGTTTAGATTTTTACTTATGTCTTGCATATGCTCTTAAGTGCTTCTTCAGTTTTAGCTTTCTAAAAAAGTATATATTTTTTCTTCACAGGGAGAAGAGAATTTATCCAAAGATTAAAACTTGAAGCAACCTTGAATGTGCATGATGGCTGTGTAAGTGACCTGTTGCGTTTTTGTTTGTTGAAGGATAAGAAATCATGTTTTACTGCCGTAGTAAGAGTTCCATGATATAAAAATGTGAATACCATTCATCAAAACTGAACTGGAAACCTCCACCGAGAGACCTGCACTGAGACCTTTAGGCATTTCTTTCTTCTTAAATGGCAGGTGATTTATTTTTGAAGCAAAACAAAGAATTCTAGCAATTCCAATATTTAATACTGCACCCTACTACCAAATTAATTAGTACCTTGTGTCATTTTTTTGTGTTATCTTTTATCAGTTAGGACTAATATATTAAGCTATTAAATGGAATTCTTAGTGGTCCTGTGCATATTTTGTTTACTTAAAAGTCAATTAATGTTTTGAATGACTTGTTACTTATTTAAAGAGATAATAARTAACAGCAAAACTCTCCTGACAGTCAATAACATCACTTAATATATTGCATATTTAAATGCAATATGTTGGTAAGTGTTCTACATTACAAATAATACTGTTCTAAAAAAAATTACTTAAACTACATGTAGGTCAAAGAGAGTGTCTGTTGTTGTTGTGTCCCATGGCACACTTTCTGATTCACTTTTGTGTTCATCAGCAAGTTAATGTACAAGCTAGGGGTATTTGTCAGCAGAGGATTATTGGAGTAGTGAGTAGCCTTAATTCTATCCTCTAATCTAAGAGATTACAGAGTTATGATAGGATTCTGTGCTGCATTACCTTTGACAAATAGAGTAAATGAAAAGGGTTAAGGAATTCTTTGTCATGCAAGATGGCTGAAAAGTGATGAAGTACTTTGTAAAATGTAAAATTACACATGTAAATTTTAAAATTTAATCAATTTAATTAAAAAGCTGTTCACATGCAAGCAGCTCAAGATAAAGATCTCTACCATTTTTAATAGAAGTCATACCCCTACTTTTTAAGAGTGCTTTAATAAAATCAAGACAATAAGATCAAATATCTGATTGTGACTTGGTTGTGTTTTTGAGAGTCATTGAAGAGTGAAAAAGGTAGAAATTAGAAYTGCTGTATCTAAAAAGTGGCTACTTTTGTTATATGGGATAGAAATATAATTTCAGTTTTTGGGTACACATGGTTTTGGGTGGACAGAGGTAGTTTTTAACACATGGCCTAACTTCATTGSTTCATTCTGTAGAAAATATTAACTATGAGCTTTTTATATACAGGTGTTGAAAAACTGTGTTACAATCTGAAAGGACTCTTTAGAAAATAAATTTGCTCAGAACTACTGATCTTAAAAGAGTGGGATAGCATGAGTTATTCGTTTGCACTCTGTGTGTGTGTGTGTATTTTTTTTTTCAGGGAATAACCTGTTTTGCCTAATAACCATTCAAGAAATTTCTTACTATTGGTTTTAAGAATATAGGAAATAAAAGTAAATGAAATTATAATGAATTTGCAGAACAAAATGCTTATATAAAATTGCAAAGTAAGCATGTTAATCTCTTGCTATATCAGCTTGCATTTCAGCTGTGAATAATTAATGTCATAGTTGCCTTAATATTTTTGTTGTTGTTTAAGAACATATAAGTTTTTCTGTAGCGTAAGTTGGAACTTGTATTTACCATGTAAAGCAACTGTGCTATTGCATCCTGCAACTAACATACTTAAAGCAGACTTTTTTTTTCCCTCTCTTGAGGCAAAAGTCTAAAGTCTCATTTCCTGCCTAGCACATCTATGTGTGGCACAGGAGATGCACCTTGTGGGAATTATGAGTGTGTGCAGTCATACTCCGATGAAAAATCTTTTTTTGAACTTGGSGCAGAGTGATAATTCTCTAATTTACTTTACACTAATTTATTTGTCGCATTAATGTTACCATACCACCTTTTTGTCTGGGGTATTTTTAACTCRGGATTTAGGTTCCATTGTCTCCGAAGTAGTGTAATATTCCATTCTTTCTTGTATCCCTTGCCCTTGTTCATTAACTTCATTTGAAGGTACAGTTTCTGGCAATAATAGGAAGTCACTGAATATGTCTGTCTAGCTGATGATGTCTGCTTGTAACACCATCCTTCTAGAGGTCATCCTTCTTTGCCTCTTTCAACAGGATTCACGTAGTACAATTCAAAATGAGGTGTTACGTACCCTAGTTTCCCTAATTCCTGTTTTTCCATGTTATTTATAAATGCAGTTGAGGAGGATGAGGAGTTCAGCTTGTGCAGCAAATCTCACTGTCAGGAACCGAATGGCCGCAAAGGAGATAGAGGAGTCCTAAAACGTTA